GGGGGGGGGGGGGGGGAAGGGGGGGGGGTGGGGGGTCGCTGCGCAGCCTGATCCTCCCCTTCCAGGGAAAGAGAGAGAAAGCGAAGGGACGACTACAGCATAGACACACACACAAAGCTGCCGAGCGAGTCCATGCAAAGAGAACCAAGTCACTCCCAGCTGAACAGGGAACAAAACCAAACCGAGCAACAGCCAGGAGGTGAAACTCTTGGTGATGATGCTAAAGGTGGTTGGTTGGTCTCTGGGTGTTTTGTTTTTTCTTTCGGATTTAGTTTTGTTGGGTTTTTGCTTTTAAAATACGTTTTTTTCTTGAGGCTTCCTGATGGTTCTTCTCTGGGTGGGGGTGGGGGTGGGCTCCGTCGAGACCTCCGGCCCATTTAGGTGTGGATGCCCCGGGAGAGATGAGACTCTGCTCCTTGTTCCCCCCATCCCCACTCCCCACCCTCCAGCTAAAGGCAAGGCAGGACTTAACGTGTCCAGCCACAGGCTTGCTACTCTGGGAAATCTTCCTTCGCTTCCTCAGCTGGGGAACAACCATTTGGGGAGCGAGCTATCCCTGTCGCAAAGTTACTTCATCGCCCCCTTTGTTTCTGTCCCTTCCTTCCTGCGTGTGGGTTGCGATTGTGTCTCTGCGGCTGGATGGAGAGCTCTTGTCTCTCCCTCTCTCTCTGCAGAGCTCCGGCTAGATAGATAGAGACGCGAGGCGCTGCTCCGCTCCCCTGTTAGCGACGGAAGAAAATAACGCTCTGATTCATGAAGTCTCAGGGTTAAGCGTGCCCTTCCCCTCTGCCATCCCTACCAGATCTTCCGGAGAGGTTCAGAGGATGGCGGTGCTCGAGGGTCCTGTTAGTAGCAGGGTTTGTTTCACCGAGCAAGCCAACGCAGACCCTAGCGTGCAAGAGGCAGGGTTGGCAAAGGCCATTTCTTTCGGAGGGTCTGCATGCTGAAGAAAACAAAAAGGACCTTTGGGTTTCCAAATCGTTTATTGTAAATAATAAACGTTAGGTAGAGGAATTTTTTTTGGTGGGTTGGTTAAATTTGCACTATCACAGTCTCCCAAATTGGAAAACAAAGATGCTATTCCATCATCATCACCATCACCATCACCATCATCATCATCATCAAGGTGCATTATGTCTAGCGGATCGCGGGGGGGGGGGGATAAAACTAAAATAAAGAGTTGGTCTGAGCTCGTTAGATAAAACACTAGCAGTGTGCAAAAGACATTCACTGGGTCTGGGCTATGGAGTGATTGCAAGTGGTTTTCCTAACAAGGCGTTTGTGGGAAGGACGTACCCTGCTGTTAAAAAACAAAACAAAACAAACAAAAGACTGAAATTATGCCTGGCCTGAGGGTGGGGGGGAAAGGCACAGAAAGATCCGTGATAAGGTCTCGATATTATTTATATATTTATTTGAGGATTGATTTATTTTCTGCATCATTGTTTGCAGCGCAAACATTCTATGCATTTGAAACTGAGCACTAAATAGACTAGCTTCTGGTAGAACCTTTTGTGGATGGTGTAATTTCACAGTTTACTGCCTGTTTTCACCGAAAACACAAACATTTCTTGTCACGTTCTTGTACTTAGATTTAAAAGGAAAAAAAAAAAAGGAAGAGGATTGTAAATATTTTCTTTAATGCACACACACACAAAAAAATGGTTACAAACTGCAACCACGTGTGGTTCCTGAAATGTCTCACTGAATTATCTACCTGTCCATGTATGTTTGCTGAGCTTTTCTCCTTGGTTGTGTCTTTCCTATATTACTTTTATTTCTATCAGAAATATTTCTGTACGCCAAAATACAACAGGGAGATGCGTCCCAGCACACTTACAAATAAAGCAAACATGAGAACAGAATAGTTTATTATTATTATTATTTATTATTATTAGGTGCATTCTTTTAAAATTTATTTCTGGGGCACGGCTGACAAATTCCAGATATAGCCGTTAGACAAATGAGACTAATTCTACCAAAAAATAGTGAGAGATGTATTTTTCTGCTAAATTCAGAAATCATTACTTTGAGATAGCTCTTATGTGAAAAAATCGGTGCTCCGAATAAAATTAACTATATATTAGCTGCGTGTGTTTCTTGAAGTTTATTCTATAACTGCAGAAAATATAAGTCAAAGTAAAATTAAGGGGGAAAAAAGGACTTCTGAAATATTTCTTTTCAGTTTGCTGGAAAGGATTATGCACCTACAAAATATGTATAAAGAAAAAAAACTTGGGTGGTTTCAGGTTTATATGTTGTTCTGACTGGCCTAATTGCACTTACTTATGTAACGAAATACTTTATTTTTATTTTGGGTTAATAAATATAAAAATCATAAACTGATCTCTCCTTCTGTTGTAAATGCAATTGTTCATTAGGAACGTATAGGATGCCACCTACTGCTTCAAGTGTTCAAAGAACCTCCTTCTATTTTCTGATGACCTGTGATTAGATGGGATGCCAAATGTAAAAAGTTACTTCATAGCTGGGATTCTTTCTTCTGTAGACATATTTTAGCCAAATCTTTTTAATTTCGCCGGTAAATCTGTGAATCAAGACACTTACGTGATGTTCGGAAAAGAATAATACGTTAAAAAGCTGTGATTTTAAACAACTGTTGATGTTAAAAAAAAGCACTAAAGGTATTTTTAAAAGAATAGATCTCGTCCACCGGAACTTAACTTGTTTCTGTTGTTGTTAACTTGAAATGTCATCAGAATTTTTAATAAATACATTTGTAAAAAATATTATTTTATAGAAAAGTATTACCGGATATCATTTTTGGAGAGCCAGGAATGAGCAAATAAAATAAATTACAAAGGTTGTTTTTCTTTTTAATCTGCCCCCAAAACTGAAAATGTTACAGGCGAGAACACACTTGTATTATACAATAACTGATGACCGATGTATGTACTGAAAAGTGAAGAAGTTTGTTTTGTGTTCAATCCAGCCCTTACCAAGTACAAAGAAAATACTATGTTAATAAAACAGCTCCTTGAAAAAAAAAATCAACGCTTTGCAGAGTTTCCTATTTTTGATGGTAGGAAACTGTGCAAAACCGGAAGCCTCTGCTTTCCGTTGGATGTATCGGAGCCTTTATAAACGGCTCATTGGCCAAACAAGAAAAAAGAAAAGAAAAAGAAAAAAACTCAGGAAAAGAAATGAGGGTGCAGAAGCAGGTCACACCAGAACGGCATAAACTTTTTCTTCATAAAAAGAGGGACAATTAATTCCTGTATATTGTAATGAAATAAGTAATCGCCTGAGCAAAGGAATACGAGTTCAGTGCCAG